TACTAATTGATCTCATCAGTACTGTTAGGCACGTCTAACTGTTGAGCGAGTCGGCTCTAATCAAGAGTCAATAAAGAATTCGAGTTCCCACACGATAGCAGGTGATTGACTGAATGTAAAAGAAAAGGAATAACTATGAAGCGGGGCACAGAGTGGGATTGAAGGCGCGGATGTGCAGGTGTACGCTGAGGTGTGTTCAGGTGTGAGTGTGTAGGGTAAATGGGGAAAGCCGAGAGGCAATTGAAACCGTAGTGATGAAGAGAGCCAGATTAACTGTTGCCCAACCTCGTCGAACTCACCCCACACTGACTTGTAATCATACTGCCTGCTCATCAGCTGGTCTGAGGTGTTTTGCTTTGTTCCTTTCAGCTATGCCAGCATCTCGAATTTCAGATTGGTTGATGTGACTCTAAATGTCCCACCACGTGGCGAGATTGTTGACATGACGGGTCATAAGGCCTTATGCAAGAGCAGAAGAGTCGTAATCGCCTCGCGAGAAAAGGTAACCGGATCCTGTTTCACTTGAGGCCATGTTCACATTCTTGACTAGCCTGCGGACATGCCGACACAAAGTGAGACGCATTTGGTGTCTAGGCCTTGGAGTGAGAATGACCAACTGGGGACCCAAGGGTGTACACCGCCGAAGACGCCTCTTACGCAGCACCGGCAACGGCATCTCCTGTTGCGACCTGAAAGCCTCAAGAAAGCTCACTCGTTCGAGACCGTATTCGCAAGAGAGAGAAGTGAGTAAAGTAAAGTGAAGTGGAGTGAAGTGAGAAAGTCAGCTGAAGTGGGGAATTTGTGAATTCTTTAATTATCGCCAGAAGAGTGACTGACGTGCCAACAGCAGCGGTGCTCTGGCGTTCGTCTTCACGTTAATAAATTCCATCAGCCCTTCTTGTGTGTGTTTACATCAAGTCCGTCCGGCTCGGTATCTGGACCCGAGAGCGCGTCTGCCTGATTGACGTGCCGTCACGCAGCAAAGCCTCAGAGGAACGGGTGGAAAGAGATGGACGATGGTTCAACCCCGCATAACTTGGCCGCATGGATCGTAAGACCACGAATGCATGTGTGCCTGGCATCAGAAGCAGTTCACGAGGGAAGTCCTCGCCTAGCAACGAAAGGAGCCAAGTCTCAGTATCAGTTGGTCCCATTTAATGGCTCCACCGAGATACTGATACCAATTTTGTCGGCCTGGATGCGAAATGCAATTAAGATGATATAAGACGCAATCACACTATTTCGCTGAAAGTGATAAAGGAATGCTAGTTGACTTTTCCTCAGGTTTCCATTTAATTTCACACAGCCTTTCTTCTCAAAAAGCCTTCTCATCCAGGCTAGAGTGTAGTTTCAACCTCGCCGAGGGCTCCCAACGGGACTCTAACCATGACAATGCAGCGTATAGTCTAGACATATTGGCCATTACGCCACACTGCCACGATTTCCCTTGCGTCACAAGGGAGATGAGAATTTTAAGGAGGACCAGGCACTTTCCCATTTCACACATACAATGATGGGAATGTAGATAAAGTGAATTTCTATTTGCTATAACAATCGTCTATATTACATATTTCAATCGAAGGTATGAAGACCAAAATGGTGTGGCCTTTTGTGTGGTCGCAGTCTCCTTTCGTTGTATAGAGGTTGTTTGACCTTGCAACATGGTCATATTGGTAGGAAGGCTTAGAGAAACGCACCTAGTCCGGAGTCCATTGTCTGCATGATCATTTCCAAAGTTGAACCGTGGACGTG